ACTATTTATATATATAATATCTTTAGTATTTAACTTATTAACTATTAATTTATATAACTATACTACTACTTTATTATTATAATTCTTAACTACTAAACTTTAAGTCTTTCTATTTCTAAACTATCTATCTTTTATATCTTAAAACTCTATAGCTTAATAACTTATTTTCTTTTAAATTTATTAAAGTTTTAGCTATTAAGCTATGTAATTATATAGATATAAAGTAAATATCTTTCTAGTTATTAAATAGTAAACTTTTTATAACTTTAATCTTTCTTTTATATAATAGTAGTTAAGATAATACTTAGAAAGTAGTAGTATAAATACTACTAGTAGATATAATATAAGTAATACGTATTTAGTATATATTTTATTAGATTCTACTATACTTAAACAAAACTATAGACTTATATAGTCTAGTAGTAATTTTCTTCTAAACTATATAATAGTATAACTAAAGAGCGTAAGTTCGATTCTTAGTAGTAACTAATATATTTATAGTAAATCTTTGTAGTAAATCTTTAATAGTAAATCTTTATAGTAAATCTTTATAATATAGCTTTAATAGAATAGTTTAGTAGTTTAGCTTAGTAGTTTAGTTTAGTAGTATATCTTAGTAGTATATCTTAGTAGTTTAGCTTAGTAGTATAGTTTTATACTAAAGCTTTTTAAAATAGCTATATACTACTTTATAAGTTAAAGATAAGCTTATTTTTTTTAAAATATTTATTATATTTATATTTTTATTTTTATTTATTAGTTTAGTAGATAAAGTATAGCTTTAAATAAAATAATAAAATAAAATATAAAATAACTTTTTAATTAAAAAAAATAAAGTTATAAAGTTTAGTATAAAGTAGTATAACTTAGTATAACCCTCTCTAGGCCTTAGAGATAGAGCCTACTACGTTATATCTTATAACATTATACTATATTATAAATAATAAATAAACAAACTTTTAAGCTATTAAAACTAAGCTTAAACTTAAACGCCTCTTACTACCTATCTACACTTCTTTTTCTTATATATTTATAATAAATAACACTATATTAACTTTTTATTACTACTAACACTACCTAGAGGTTATAATAACCTAGTAGTAGTTACTACTATACTATATTTAGTCTGTTAAGCGCTACTACTACTACCTCTATTATAGTTACTATTACCTAAAGACTTAGAAAGATTCTAGAATTAGTAGTAGTAGTAATATCTTTATAGTGCCTAGTAAAGAGCCTCTTATCTTAATACGTTACACTAGCCTTAAAGCCTTCTATACTTATTTATACTAGTTATATTCTATTATAAGCTTATTAAAAAAGCTAGCGCTATCTACACTACTAAAGTTATTATATTATCTACTACTCTATTATGTTGTATTATATATACATAGATTACTACTATCTATTATAAATAGGTAATAAAGTTTAAGACTAGTTAGATCTATCTATTAAAGTCTTTATTTATAACTTTATTAACGTAGGCTAGCTACTTATTAGAGAGATATATAGTAGGCCTACTATCTAAGGCCTTAGCTAAATTCTTAAGACGCTTATTCTACTTAAGAGTAATATATTATCTTTTCTTATCTATCTTAGTACTAGCTAATATATAGATACTACTTAGTATAAGAGCGCTTATAATAAACCTATTATTATTATAAAGCTAGTAGATAAGCTTATTCTTAATAAGCTTATTACCTAAGTAGAGAAAATAGATATAAGTCTATATCTATAACGTATAGATACTTATATAGATATCTATAAGCTTCTCTAGGTACTACTCTATTCTATTATAGGTATACTAGTATATAGCTACGTTAGCCTTAATATTAGTAGATATTAGTAATAGCCTATAGTATAGGCGCTTATTTTCTATAACGTAGTTAGTAGTAATAAAAGATATATTAAGAATTTTAAAGAGTTAATTATAGAGTTTATAAAATATTTAAAGAAGAGAGTATAGATATAAAGAAAAGATAAACTATAGAGAATCTTTTTAATTAAAAAGTTCTGTTTATTTATAGTACTATAGTTAAAAATATAGTTCTACTCTAATAGAGGTGTACCTATATTATAAGTATATATATCTTAAGCTAGAGTTTTACTTAACTAACTAGGTATAGCTACTAAGTAGATGCCTTAGGCTAGGTATATATCTTAGGCTAGGTATATATTTTAGGCTAGGTACATATCTTAGGTATTAGTTCTTAGAACTTAGTTTTACTAGAGCTTTTAGCTTTTTTCTTAGCTAATATAGTATTATAACTCTAGTATTAAGCTTCTAGCTACTACTCTCTTAACCTAGATCTACTTCTCTATATACTAGCCTATATACCTTACTACTACTAAAGCTTACAGAACGTATAGAATTAGTACTATTTATTTTTATTTTTTCTTTTCTATAAAGCTACAGAACTTAGAACTTTATAGCTTGCTCTTAATAGCTAAAAGATATTAAAAGAATATATATACTACTACCTACTATAATTAAAGGTATTTAGAAAATATACCTATATTATAATTATATACTATATTACTTAGCTACGTTATACGTATGTTTAAGTACAAGCACTTTATTAAAGTAATAACTTAGTATAAAGTAGTATAAAATAGTAAAATTTAGTATAAAATAGTAAAAAGTAGTAAAGTATAGTATAAAGTAGTAAAGCTTAGTATAAAGTAGTATAACTTAGTATAAAGTAGTAAAGCTTAGTATAAAGTAGTATAACTTAGTAAAAAGTAGTATAACTTAGTAAAAAGTAGTATAACTTAGTATAAAGTAGTATAACTTAGTAAAAAGTAGTATAACTTAGTAAAAAGTAGTATAACTTAGTAAAAAGTAGTATAACTTAGTAAAAAGTAGTATAACTTAGTATAAAGTAGTATAACTTAGTAAAAAGTAGTATAACTTAGTATAAAGTAGTATAACTTAGTAAAAAGTAGTATAACTTAGTAAAAAGTAGTATAACTTAGTAAAAAGTAGTATAACTTAGTAAAAAATAGTATAACTTAGTATAAAGTAGTATAACTTAGTAAAAAATAGTAAAGTTTAGTATAAAGTAGTATAACTTAGTAAAAAGTAGTAAAGTTTAGTATAAAGTAGTATAACTTAGTAAAAAGTAGTAAAGTTTAGTATAAAGTAGTATAACTTAGTAATATATAGTATAACTTAGTTTAATATTATAAAGTATATATACTAAACTTTACTAAATTATACTAAGTTATACTAAACTTTACTACTTTTTACTAAACTATACTAAGTTATACTAAACTTTACTACTTTTTACTAAACTATACTAAGTTATACTAAACTTTACTACTTTTTACTAAACTATACTAAGTTATACTAAACTTTACTACTTTTTACTAGATTATACTAAGTTATACTAAACTTTACTACTTTTTACTAGATTATACTAAGTTATACTAAACTTTACTACTTTTTACTAGATTATACTACTTTTTACTAAATTATACTACTTTTTACTAAATTATACTAAGTTATACTAAACTTTACTATTTTTTACTAAGTTATACTACTTTATAGTAAATTTTACTAAATTTTATTTTTTATACTATATTTTACTACTTTATATAGTATTATTTTATATTATACTTACTTATATTTTTTATATATTATACTATTTTATAATTTAATTAAATTAAACTACTAAGTAACTATTAATATAGTTAAGATTATATATAATCTTATTATTATATATATATTTAGTTATTATACTTAAAGTATTAACTAATATAATTATAACTATAAGTAAGTAGAATTTTATTTTACTATAGTTTTATTTTTTATATAGTAATATTTATTACTATTAATACTTATTTAGTTTACTAAGTATTATAATTACTTAAGTTTAATATAATAGTATACTTAAAAGCTATATAAACTTTTAATATTATTATTACTATAGTAAAGAGACTAGTAGTATCTCTATTAGAATAAATACTTAATATAGTTAATTATATTATATATATATATATAGTTATTATTCTTATCTAAATACTATCTAGACCTAGCTTTACTTAGTATACTAACTCTTAAGTTTAATAGCTATTTAGCTCTCTATTATATTACTAGTTTTACTACTATATTTCTATAATACTATTACTATATTAGATAGTATAAAGAAAACTATACTTACTTTTATCTTTACTTTATTATATATTAAATCTATTATATTTAGCTAAAATAATATATTTATAGCTTTAGTATTAATTTAAAATACTAATATATTATATATAATAATATTAAAATAACTACTTTTCTTTTATATATACTTATTCTTATATATATTTTTTTCTTTCTTCTTGTCTAAATTTACTAATTAGTAATTACTAAGTAATACTAATTAGTAATTACTAATTTTTTTTTTTTAGTAATTACTAATTAGTAATTACTAATTAGTAATTACTAGGTACTAAGCCTATTTAAGAATTACTAATTAGTAACTTAGTAATTACTAAGTAATTACTTAGTAAACGCCCATCCATGACACACAGCCATCGTGCCACGAGCATCCAAGGGGGGGCAAACTGACGGCTGGCAACAATCTCATCCAGCGTCCTCGCGCCCTGCTGCCTCCCCCTCGCCATGCCACGATGGCGCTCCAGACCGCCTGCAGTCACCGGTAGATTATCAATCGTGACCTATCGTGAGATTGACCGGCCTCGTACGTGCACAGTCGCACGGCGGTGCATGCTGCAAAGGCCAGCGCAGATGAAGCCGAGTCTAGGCGCCGCCCGTCTCCTCAGCAATCATCGTGAAAGTCCTAATCCGGTAAGGCACGCAGCATCAATTTTCTGCACCGGGGCGCGCTTGAGCACGGATGCATGACAAACGTGACTGCCTGTGCAGCGCGCCAAGGAGCTAGACCACCGGCTTCGCATCCTCACCTCTGCTGCGAATCTCATCTCACTCTGCTCGCCAACCATTGCCCCGGCCTCCCGCCTGTGCGAGTTGTTTCTTGCTCTATTACCCAATGCCGACCCGCACCAACGCTGCGAGGGACACGAATCCGAGCGGGACTGGTGCTCCACCACGCGCTCCGTCCAACAGCTATCGTGACTCGACGCTAAACATCTTCGCTCTGCTGCTTGTCTTCCGCATCGTCAACGCACTAACCCTGCGCTCCTTTTTCCAGCCCGACGAGTTCTTCCAGTCCCTCGAACCTGCATGGCAGCTTGCGTTTGGCCCCGCCAGCAATGCCTGGATCACCTGGGTAAATCCGCTTCAGAGTGCTCCAGTCTCCCCAGTCCGCTCACCGTGGCCAGGAATGGAGATCCCAATTGCGGTCGTCCCTGCATCCAGCGCTATTCGCTGCCGTCTATCGAGTCGCGGCACATGGTGCTGACCTCTGTGGCTTGACCTTGCCTGCTAAAGCCGAACTACTCCTAGCTGCCCCGAAAGTTACCCAAGCCGTCTCTGCAGCCTTGCTTGATTGCTACACATGGAAACTTGCGGAAAAAGTCTACGGTCGTGGCAGTCGCACTGCCCTTACTACTGTACGCGACCATCCTGCAAATTTAGCACTGCAATCTCTGATATTTGATCCCACCTACTTCTAGCTTGCATTGTCTGTCTGCAGCCCGTGGCAGTGGTTCTGCGCGACCCGAACACTATCCAACTGTCTTGAGACTACCATCACTTCTGTCGCTATTTACTATTGGCCTTGGCAGGGTGCAGCAACAGCTAGCAAGGGTCAGACGCATATTGCACACCACGACCTCGGCTCCCTCTCAGAGTAAGTCGTGGAATCATAACACCCTTTCTCTGCTCCGCCACCACTTTAGGCTCATGCTCGTGCAGGTTGCGCCTGTCACTGCTGTTGGCAGCGCTTGCGTGTATTCTCCGGCCCACCAATGCACTCATCTGGCTGTCCGTATCCGTCCCAGCTCTATGGCAAGCCTCACATCGGCTGCGCTGTGTGTTGGTCCGTGAGATCCTGATTTGCGGGTAAGCCTTCCCTCTCCTTGCATCCGCTGCACGTTTTTCGTCCCCATAGTGCAAGGCTCCATTGCCGGGCTCTGCGTTCTCTGCAGACTACCGTGCCCGAGGTCACCAGACCATAATCCGACTGACGATGCTAGCTCCGCCGTCCTGGTATTGTCAGTCGCGACCGATCGGCTCTATTACAGGGTCTGGACTCTTCCGCCGCTTAGATTTCTCTATTTCAACATCGCTCAGTCGTTAGCCGTCTTCTACGGGAGGAACCGCGGCGACTACTATTTGACCGAAGGTTTGCCGTTGCTCCTCACGACATCGTTGCCATTTGCCGTTGTTGGCCTGTGGCAGTCGTTGAGGGGCTTAGAGCCACGTAGCCCAGCCAAAGGCGACGGCCCGGGTAATACAGCAGCTTCAGGTCAAGATACTGCGGGCAGTCAGATACTAAGCCGTCTGTCATGGACGGTGATCGTCATGACTGCTACGCTGAGTTTGATATCGCACAAGGAAGTTCGCTTTCTGTACCCAATCCTACCCTTCCTTCACATCATCGCCGCTAGGCCACTCAGCAAGTTTTTACCTCCTCGCGCTGCGCTATCGCACAAAGCAGTCGTCCTGTTCTTGCTTGCTATAAACATCCTACTTGCAGGCTATGCCTCTCAAGTTCACCAGCGTGGAGTCATCGATGTACTCGCCTATCTCCGCCATAAACATGAAACGCGCAACAGCCTGTTACACGTCCATGACAATAGCAATAATAACGTCGCTGCTGTGACCAATACAACAGTCGGCTTCCTCATGCCCTGCCACTCCACACCCTGGCGCTCCCACCTCATCTACCCTGAAATCTCCGCATGGGCTTTGACGTGCGAGCCACCCATCGATATACCCCTCTCCGAACGCTCAACCTATCTTGACGAGGCGGATGAATTTTACATCAAACCTGGCCCTGTAGCTTGGCTCCGGGTCAATATGGAAGATGTACAGACGATCAAGGCGAGTGGAAGTAGGTCTGGTCAGCATTGGATGCGCCAGGATCCAAAGTTTAAACGCAAGTACCGGCGTGAGTGGCCGCAAAACCTTGTTTTCTTTGAGCAGTTGGAAGGGACTCTGAAGGAGTATCTTGAGGGCACTAGATACCAGGAGTGTTGGAGGGGTTTCAACAGCCACTTCCATGATGACTCGAGGAGGACTGGTGATGTGGTTGTCTGGTGCTTGGATGGCGTGTGAGGCGCAGACTGTACTCTTGTATAACACTGTAGCAAGATAACTCTTTTAGTAACATTATCTGTGGATCATCTAGATAATGTGACCCCTTATGAGTGCTCCTTTACATACCACGCAAGATGTCATCTCATCTATCTGATCCTCGTCCTCAAAATACCCAGGTCAACTATCCATGCCATCCAAGTGTCTTCGACTTATCCCTTCCTTCCCCCCTGAGCCCAAAAGCCGCGTTGCGACGATTTCGTAACAACGAAACACGCCCAGTACCAAAACATCGAGCAGCAACTATCCCCATCGCGAATTTGCGTAAAACAGCCCAAAATTATGTTGAAACTCAAAGTCCACATCACGACATCCACACTCAGTAGATACCACAGTCAACCACCGCGTCAAGCCCCCCAAAACAATGACCTCATCGACCCTGCAGATCCACGACCCACGACCCAAAAACCACATCTGGGGCAAACACTGCCCTGGATCCCAGCAGACCGGATACCCGTCCCTGTACCTGACGACGATGATAGCTTGCCACAGATGTACACACATGTAAGTCCAGAACACCACGATCGTCAGGGCAACGAAAACGGGTATCGGTCTGGACTGGAAAAGACGTTTTGGGTATGGAGAAGAAGAAGAAGCAATGTGATGATTAGTGCTGTAGCTAGGCGGGGACCCGAACCGGACCCTGACCCTTGAGCGGAAGGGAAGGGGAAAAAGGAAGACCACTGGGCATATGCATCGTGTTTTTGGGACCCGGGGGGAAGGTCGTTTGGGGAAAAGTAAGGTTATGAGGGGGAAACGCAGGGCATGTCATGCAAAGGAAAAAGGTGAACAGGTCTAGAGCCTACATCGACGTAAAGTCACCTACTTTGCATGTTTCCATGTTGAATGTAGGCTGCAGACCTGTTCAGTATATTTCCTAGCTGGACGTGGGGCTCGCAGGCTTCACGGCAGCAAAAAAGATCGATGAAAAGTCTGGATTCAGTGACTGGAGCTCTCGTGTTGAGCCACACAGTTTGAGATGTATTGATTTTCGCGTAGTATGACATAGGGAATAGGTTCCTGATAAAACCGATGTTCTTTGTCGGCAGTTTACCCCCTTCTTCCGATAACAACAGGAACGAGTAATGTTCAAAAGTTCAAAAGCAACAGACCAACCCAATGCACAATGAAAGAAAACGCATCTCGCTTGGAGATAGAGAGAAGCCATTTTCTCGGCCCCAATTAAAAAGTATTCCGAGTTCAACGCCATGATCCCAATGCCCGTTGTTGATGATATGCTTCTTGAGCCTGGAACGCCGCGCTGAAACCTCAACTGAGCCGGCAAGTGTTCCGGCATGCCCAAATGCTCCCTTTCGAACGCCTAAGAATGCAACATGACCCAAGGAAAATATCAAGCCAAAGCGACTGCCTTTGCGCTGGTGCTTGAGCTGACTGAAGCCGGGGGTGTGGGTGGTGCAATATCGATCGCAGGCGCAACCCAGCCCTCCTTGCGAGCAATCCACATGACCAAATTGAGGTCAAAATTCTCGAAAAAGACCTCATCGAGGAAACGAGCCTTTGCGCCGGCGTAGGTATGGTATTCCTCGCGAACTGTCTCTGGGTCGACGCCGAGGATCCTCCGGAAGCAGGCGATGGTGCATCCTGTGCGATGCTTGCCCTTGTTGCAGTGGACGAGGATCGGATGGTTGGTACGATCCATGATGAGGCGCAGAGCTCGTGACATTTCGCACGATTCGACGCGCACTTCGCCTTTGTTGGCTTTGACGTGAACGTGGAAGTGCTGTATACCAGCCTCCTTCATGAAGTTTTGATACTCGGGTGAGAGTGGCTCAGGAACCAGGGTGAGGATGGTCTTGATTCCGGCTTCCTTAAGGTATTCGTAGTTCTCCTCCTTTGGATAGCTGCTACGATAGACGCACCCAGGGAGAACTGTGCCGTAGTTTGATGGAGGAGTAAGTGACTGTAGGCGTTCGGGTGCCGAACGGATGGAGACGGCCGGTGTGAGAGTGCCGTAAGACTCAGCTGTGCAGGTGATGGAACACTGGTGACCCTGAGGGTCTACGACAACCTTTAGGTCCTCGTGCGTAGTCTCGCCGGCGTGCTGAATGAGGCCGTCGCTTGCAGAGAGTCCGAGAGAGGCGACGAACTCCCTGATTCTTTCGAATACGCTTTCCTGAGCGTTTTGATCCTGGCTGACGGACGTCGCGGAGTCTCCGTTTGACGAAGACATGTTGAAGCGCTGCGGAGCTTCGAGTTCGAGTTTGAAGGAGGGTATCAAAGTGTAGGTATAAGCTCAGCTTGTGTTGTACTCGGACGATTTGTCCTATACCCTTCACAGCGCGGATTTTCGGATGCGGAGGTGCTTGGTGGTAAGCCTTGTCGAGTGCTCTTGTGTGCGTTGAGGGTTTGGAAGTCTGAGTTGGGAGGATGCTCGAAGACAAGAGACACGGGGGCAGAAGCCGACGCGGGCAGCCTATAATCTATTAGCCAAATGCTCGTACGTTAGGAGGATAGCTCCGAATTCGCGAGCTATGGGTCGTCGCCGCTGTCACCCACGGATCCGGCGGTCGTGTCGAGCGCGCGGCGAATGGAAGGGCATGCATTGAAAATGCGGCAGTTCACACAGCGTTGATGACAGTGCAGCTTCCAAGGTTGCGTGAAAGGGTAAATTTTTAACTTACTTCGCTGTTACCGGCTGGTTACAGGACACATCTTGCGAGCGTCTTGCGGTGATGCAAAGAGGCGTTGATGTTCATTGTGAGTGAGCGAGGTAGGGTGTACTGTGGGCGGAGTGGTGTGCGCAGTAGACGGATATTTGTGTGGTGATGGCTCGGGGCGGTAGCGAAGGATGTCAGCCGTAGTTCGCGGGGAGTGGGAAGTAGTGTATTATAATGAAGGCTGGTGTTGTGGAAGAAATCGGGCGGGTCGCCCTAGCGCGCCTTTCACTGGTCCGAGCCAGATGCGTCGGAATCAATCCGCTGGCTTGGACCGCCGGTTCCAGGGTCCGCCAAGCGCCGTACGTCACTTGCCGCACCTTCCCAACGGTACTTTGGCTATGCAGGAACGCAGAGCATATAATTCATCGAAAGCAATCTGTGGGCTGTGTGCTAGTTCAGTCTTCTGGTACCAGCAAACAGCGCGCGGACCCCACACCAGTCTTGTCGTGCCTTGCCAAATGACGGCAAGCACAGAGCAAGCGCCAGTAGCACCTGGGCAGTGGGCAAGCTTCGCTAACTTCGCTTCTGTTCCAAGGCGAACCGCCCCGCTGCATGGCTCCGACCTGGGCGGCGCGTCTCAACACTGTCTCGCTCCCGTGCCTCAGCGACAGGCTTGATACTTTCCAGCGCCGTTAACACCGTCATCGCTCCACTCGCAACCTACGGAGCGGTGGGTCTCTAGTGCTTGGGTGAACCACGACGTGTTCGCCAGAACCGCGCGGAAGAATCGGCACAGAAGAGACGCCAATAACACAGTAAGCGCATCAAAGCATTACTGTAGACGGCAAATGCCAGTAGGCGAAGCTTATGGGCTGTGTTCCCAGAGCAAACCGACTATCCGAATACAACGATATCATACTTCGCCTTTGCCCAGCTTCTATGCCATCATCAAGGCAATATTCATAGCCGTTCATCCCGAGTTCTCCTGCTGTCCGAGTCTTGTGGCCGCTTCCTCATCATTGCAACCACGTAGCCAGGGCCTGGACGCTCAGTGGAACTTGGCAGAAACTATCTCGAAATCTCTATGACGACTCCGCGACATTCCGTAGA